GGCTAGAGTGAGTGCCATGGCATTGGCCTAGCTCAAACAATCCGCCCACCTCGGCCTCCCAGAGTGCTAGGATTACAGGCGTGAGCCACCGCGCCCGGCCATGTTTTATGGTTTTTAGATCTTGTGTCATTCAAAGGTTTTAAGCAAAAAAGCAACACAATCCAATTTGCATATAAAAAAGAACAGGGCTATGTGAAAAATGGATTGGGAGGGGGCAACACAGAACAAGAGAAAGAAGTCAGGAGACCAATTAGGAGGCTGATTTAATAGTGAGAAATGAAGGTAGCTTGGGACTGGGAGGGTGGGGGTAGAAGGGAGGATGTGGAGAAAAAAGAGGTAGATTGATGTTTGGTTATGTATGTATTGAGGGAGAAATTCAGCTGCATTCCTGCCCTTGGATTCCAGAAGAAACCAGTGTCTCTGTAAAAAATTATTTTTGTTTAAGCTAGCTGGAGTTGCTTTCCGCTACTCTTATGCAAAGAGCTTTAGCAAGCATATCCACCTGAACTGTGGGAATAATCAATGTGTTACTCTTGATGAAAGAGTCTTAACAAATTTTCCAACAATTTAAAGAAAGATAATCCAGAGAGCACAGTATTTTAATTTAAACCTACAATCCAAAGTATATCTAGAGAGAACAGTTTTGAGTGATGTCGGAAACAGGGGCGAACCCTGCTCCCCTGGTCTCTCCCACATTAGGCCACATTCTCCTGAATTCCCACAGGAGTTATTAGGCAGTGAGGTTCCGGAGAGGGACACACATACTGATTTATTACTCACATAGAAGCTTCTCCTTTTGCAGGGTATCTGATATCGAATTATTTCTTTCTCCAAAAGAGCCATTCAACAGGTTTCGAGGGTTATGCTTCCAAACATGCTGATGCGTAGCACAGTTTGGTAAACTGCCTTGCTGAGCTAAGAATAGGCGGTATAATTAATGTTGCTGGATGGCTGGCTCATCACATCTTAACATAGAAGTCCATAACAAAACCACTACTACCCAAATCACCACTTCTACCACCACCCACCACCACAGGCCTTTGCAATGAATATGTGCCATTTTTCAAAGAGCTTTCACAATTCAACTTCTCTTAGTTAAGCATGATTAGCCCCATTTACAGCTGAGGAAACAAGAGAGGAGGCAGACTTGAGAAGCAGTATGGTGCAGCGGAACAAGAAAGCGCTTGGGAGACAGAAAGACCTGGCAGCAAGAGCTGTGCTGGGGCTCAGAAAATGATACCCCAAAAGTCTGGCACTTTGGCATACTAAACACTTTGAACTAAAACAGGAAGGCCTTAGAAGATGCCTCATAAACGAGGACTTTCTGGCCTCTCCTGTTGGCCCCCACCCCAAGAGCAGGGAGGGA